TGTTTGTGTTTTTGAAGCATTGATTTTGATTTTCCACGTGGTGGCATAATCAGCAAAGGCGTTAAGGCATCGTTGAAGTTTGTTCGTTATTTCGCGAGGCATCCTTCCTTTGACGGCTATTGCGGTATCATCTGCGAACAGGAAAAACACGCAACCGTCTCCAAGGGGAGGAATTTCGGAAGTGTAAATGCTGTAAAGCAAGGGGCCCAGCAGACTGCCTTGCGGGACTCCTGCTGGGATGGAAAACGTGTCGGAAAGACAACCATTCAACGATACCTTAAACGACCTTTGCTGAAGGTAGTTACGGGTGATTTTAACCAGATGTAATGGAAAGTTGAAGTTACAAAGCTTGAATACAAGCCCATTGTGCCAGACATTATCAAACGCTTTCTCAACGTCTAACAAGGCCATGGCTGTGGACTTGGATACAGCTTTGTTAATTGTTATTCGATGTTATTCATCACCCGCACTAGCTGGTGATTGGTGGAGTGCCCCTTTCTGAAACCAAACTGTTCCGGAAGGAGAATGTTATTTTCCTCGACAAACTTGAGCAAACGATTGAGTGAGTCCATTCTGGAAGCAATCTGCTTGTTCAGATCGGCCATTTCACGTGTTTTGCCCAGGTCTCCAGTCCTCTGAAACTGGCGTCTACGCACATTTCTCAATCGAATCAATATTTGGGTGTGGGAATCAATAGCAACAAACTTACCCCTCACAGGAACTTGTCGAACGCATGTCTCGTCAGCCTCGGATATGGCCTGTTGGAGTCCTTCCAACGCCCGGTCGATGTCATCTACGGTGTCGAGCAGTGGATTTTCATCGATGTTGCTGTCCACCATTCGACCGTACTGCACCCAGTTGACATGGTGGTAGTCTTTACGCAGGCAGCTTCTAGCAGGAACCACGTTGACACCGACTTCAGTCACCACCGGCTGGTGGTCGGAGCTGAGATCGTTGTGCGCCTCCGGCTTGGATAGTCCGATGTTCGACAGGAAGAAGTCCAGCGTGGAGGGATTTCCCGTCGGAGAGATGAAAGTTGATTCGTCCCGAGGGGGACGACTCTATCTACGATGCAGAAAAGATTGTGTTTTGCTGTGGCTAGCTGCACGCACGCTGAGTAGATAGAAGGAAGATTTATGTCGATTTTGAAGATTTCCTGCAAAAAGATGAAGCGCGATGCTAGTAGATGCGAGAAATGAAAGATGATTTTTCGAAGATTGATTCGCTAGTGTGAGATTTTTTGAGCATCTAGAATTGAGATTTAGATGTGTCGCCCCCCTCGGTTCGTCCGGAAATTGCACAGTGTACAGTCCATGTTGTGCGTGGTCGAACAATAGACATCCGTTCCGGTTCCGCTGGTAGTTCCGCCAAGCTTCATGGCGGGCGTTCAGGTCGCCCCCAACGATGAATCGGGAGCTAGTACGAGTAATGGCGGTCAGGTCGTTCTTGAATTGGATGTCTCGGCCGTTGCTTGTGGTACACTGACGTGGGCAGTAAACTCCTATAAACCGGACGTTTCCAGTTGGTGTTTCCACCTCCACATTAATGGCCTCCATGATAGAAGTGCGGATGTGGGGCAGAGTGCAAAACTTGATTTCCTTTCTGACGATGACCGCTACACCACCCCCCCTGGAGCTGGTGCGATCAAGCCGGATAATGTTGTGGTCAGGCAACTAGAAGCTGTCACCGGACTTTAGGTGGGTTTCCGTAAGAAGACCCACGTCGATGCTATGCTTGCGGAGGAAGTCGGCAAGCTCAATCTGTTTAGCTCTTACAGAGCAAGCGTTCCAGGTAGCGATGGTTAGCGGTTTAGACACCATATTGGATGATGAACTTACCGAGCACTTGGATCTGTTCGGGCTTATTGCGGCACTTACGTAGAGCACCGGTCATGTTGATAAAAATCTCCATAAGTGCATCTGCTGAGAACAGATCGGGATTATTTGTTTGAGCTGTTGGTTTCCTCCAGAATCCAGGAGGGGATGGAGAGCTTTGTCCAGCAGAAGATCCAGACGTTTCTTGAGGGGGCGCGGATCGCTCCCTGGGATTCGCTTGTCCATGAATAGGCGGAAAGTCCTCCGCCCTGAAAGCCGGGGCCTTATCCTTCCTTCGTGCTGGTTGATTGTTGGTGGATGCTTGATTTCGGAAGCGCTTGAAATCCTCGCGTTTAGGGCACTGCTTGTTGGATCCTTGGTGAGCACCACTACAGTTGGCGCATTTGGACGCCACAGCTTCATCCGCAGCACATTCGGAGGTGGCATGGTCTTGAGCGCAATTTCCGCAGCGTGGCTTAATGTTGCAGTTGCGGGTACCGTGTCCGAAGTTCAGACACCGCAGGCACTGAGTCACATCGCGATGGCCGCCACGGTATGGCTCCCAGCGAACGATGATGGAATTGATGGACCGGATGGCTTTCAGTGCATTGAGCATCACCGTTCCCTTCTGGAAGTGTACCAGGAAAAGGCTATCCGGGTACGCCTACACATTCTCGTCTCTTCTTGTCATTCGGTACACGGCACTTGGGGCCAGCTTGTACCTGTCCCTGATTTCATGTTCGATAAACTTCGGGTCGAAATTTGGTAGGCCCCTGATGACGACCTTGAACGGTTTTTCACCGGGGATGTCGTGGGGGAAGAATTCCACCTTGGAAGTCCTCAGGTGGGCGATGACCAAGTCATACTCCGCTTTGGTACGGAGCACCACCTTGGTGCCGACTCTGCCCAATTTGAATTCGGCTTTGACGCCCAGCGACGCCAGATCCGCGATGAGCTCGTTGAGATGGGCATTTTTCACTACCAGCGGAGGTAGCTTCACTCTTGCCACGCTCATGTCAGCAGCATTTTCTTTATCGGCAGCGTCACCGAAATCTCCGTTCGTCGCAGAGGCATCGTCTCGACCAATCGTGCCATCAGACTGGCCTCGGTTCTTCTTCCTTTTCTTGCTGCGTTTTTCCAACACAGCCGGCTGGATATTCCCATCCATGGGGAGAATAGCAAACCTGTTCGAGGTAGGCACACCGGAGCTTCCTTCACCGGAGTCTGGACCTTCGCCGGGCTTCGCGACCGATGCTTCCCCATTACGGGGCACACACACACGCACGACAAACCGCGAAAGAGAGAGCGCGAACAATATCGCCACGAACTTTTCCAACAACTCGAGAGAGCGAGCTAACACCGAACTGAACTGCTTGACGATCAAGCAGAGAATCTGTCTGATGAGCAAAAGCACGACAATAGCGCTGTTTTATATCTTTTCAGGTTCAAGCAGAACGATGTGCAACCGAACCTGATAGGATTTCCCCCCGTTTTTTATGAATGGGGCGGAGCAAAAAGTTTCAAAAGGATGGACTTTGGATGTTAATATAATTGCATATATAGAGGTACCAGATATGTTTTACAGTCAGTTGTTGGTAATTCTTCGAGTGTATGTCTCCTGTTAAGCAATTTTGTTTGAAAATGTTGGTTCTGCATATAAAAAATTGTTTATACATACCTAATTGTGGTTTGCTTCAAATTTATTTCCCGGACAAAAATGATCGTCAAAGTTCATGTCTTTTTCGGGTTATGTTAAGGGGGAGGGGCAGAGGTTGTTAACGGGGAGGGGGTTTTATATGCACATTTGTTCAAGTCTCATTTCTCATTGTGGTGGACACGCTGTGATCCACCTTTAGCCGCTGTCTTAGTTCTGCTTGCTGCAGGACCTAGTGCCATGCCGTGCGAAGCGGTAATGAGCAGAGGCAGGAGAGCAGCGCTGATTTATATCTTTTCAGGTTCAAGCAGAATGATGTGCAACCAAATGGTATTCGTTTATGATGACTGGGTTTGGGAAAAAGGCTTATTTCATGAAAAAGTGATAAAATTATCATTTGTACAATTTCAAAAGTTTAATTACAGAAAATTTGGAAAAATATTTATTTCAGCAGGTTTGTAATGTAATATCCTATCGATTGGCGTATTTGGATTTTAATTTCATCTATAAATGACAAAGTTACAAGCCTTCAAAACCTAACACTCCTTCACCACACATATTTTTTGATTTGCACCCCAGTATAGTCGACAAAGACGTAGTTCTACGTCAAAAACGAACTCAATGATTTTGCTCTTGAGCGAGCAAGCGTTCCAGTTGACTATTTTGATGGCTTCACGGTCCATACTTTTGCATGAGGGACATAACTGCACGAGGATCACTAGTTCGTCGCTTGTGAGTGGAGAATTGTCCTCTGACTCACCGGACACAGCACGGGCGTACGATAATCCCGGGGTAGTAGAGCCATGGCTCAGCTAGGCCGCAGCGTCAGTGAGGCGATGCTGAACTCTGATGTTGGATTCGCAACGGGGGGCGCTGGTTTAGTGGAAGCGGTGCTAGGTTCGGGACCATACGACGAGCCTGAAGTATGTTGACAATAGGAGCACGATTATTGCGGTGGCGACCAGGTTGGTTCATCGTGGAAGCCTGTTGTCGGATCTGGATGAAGGCAGCTCGCTTGGAACAACTCCTATCGCTGCCCAGATGCCGTTGGTCCCGGCCCAAATGTGTTTGAATAGGTGCAATATCCTACGCAGGTGTGGAAGCTTCCTTTCTGCACATTCGATTGCCGTCAATGGATGGCAATCGATGTCCTTCGGTGATGGACACTAGATTGCGGAGCAGAGACCGACGTTGAATAAAGGAAAGAAGAAGAAGTATAGCAAATTAATATTATACCATCGACTGACATGAGTGGAGAACCGTTGTACTCCAATCCAGTACCACAATCGACGTACTACATTAAAGGTACTACAATCATGTATGTCGAAGGTATTATTGGTATACTAGCGACGGATAGTCAGAGATTTCAGAACTAAACATTCATCTATCTAGTAGGTCTATTCTTCCTGATAAAGTATGACGAATCCGCCTTAGTATTATATGGTCAGAATCTCATGATAGGAATCAGGGGCAACAAATCCCGTACATAGCAATGAAACACTTCGTGTAAAAATTACATACAATGTTTGTCTTTTATTTAATTTCGTTTAATATCAAATACCTTACCTTACACAATGTAATACACATTCTAACTGTATCGATCTTGTACGTTGTCCCTTGACGAGGGACATGCCAGTTTTGAAACTATATTCCCTCCTCATGCCTTACTTGCTAAACTTACACTGCTATCGAATCGCATATTATGTTTCCGAGACTAGACTGTGTTCTTCACCATTTTCAATCCTAACCCTAAATAGTCTGCCACGGTTTTTAAGCCTTCCAATCTTAGATTCATTGCTAATTTTCCCTTTTCTTCATCTAGAAGATGTGTTTTCTACAATGTTCCTTCCCTTCGGATTGCTTTTTTTCCTGGTAAGAAAAGAGAGAGAAATAAATATAATCTACCTAGTTTGAAGTCTTTACAAAATTGTGGATTGGGTTTACAACTACAGGTTAACTTAACCGAATGCTGAACTACTATTTAACAACAATCAATTCGCTAACTATCAACTGTGTTTTTTTTTAATATTGAGAGTGTACTTTGTGCTATGTTTTCTTCGCTGAGCAGTTCCATGCTAAATCTGCCTGAAAAAGCTTAAATCTGAGCCGAACCTTTCCGATTTGGTCCTTGAAACTTTGTCTAGGTTTTCACCATTTGAGGGGATATGAATCTTCTATTTAGAGATTTAGAGAGCATTTTGGTTTGAGCCTCATATTTTAAATGGGGGTATATGTTTTCATTGGCATTATGTTTGAAAAAACAAATGTACCTCAAAAATCAAGCGTGCAAATGCTGATTTCAGCTAAAATACTATTTTTTTTTTCGGAATTATGAAACAATTAGATATGAGGGGAAATGGATGTAATGTCGGCCTAAATGTCCCTTATTTGGGCCCATGCATAAATTCAGCAATCGACTTAATTTTCAATAGCCGCCAAAAATATCCATTAGTAACGTCCCAATGACGCGTTCATCTAGATAAAATTGATAAATAGCAGATTTTTAGCGATGGGCCCAATCTTAGATCCATAGGCCAACATTAGAGTAATTTCTCCCTTCCATTCACAAAATAAGTTTTAAACATTCATTTTAACGACTAATTCAATCATCTTAGATGCCTGCTATTGATTGGCAACGTTCTTAACATTATTGCACTGCACTTTAACATCAATTCTGTACAATTCGTCCATTTCGATGCTATCAATAGTTTACGAAACACGTTTTGTGCCAATACGCCCTTTTGAAACATGACGCTTGAACCAAAATGGTCTATAATATCGATGGAAGATTCATATTCCCCCCTGTGTCGAAAACAACAGACAAAGTTTCTTTTAACCCGAAAAGACTCAAATCGCCCCAATTGCCTATTTCGCGTGGAACTGCTCCGCTTTGGCGAACGCAAGGTTCCTAATCACGTAAAATCATCGCTCTGTGGAAAAAGGAAGTGGAATTCTGAATGGATCTGATAAAATCGTCTACACTGCTACGCGGCTTACGGTGAGCTAACCCTCACTCGTCCCGAATGGGCAACGGGTGCGCCTCCGAGTTGAACACGTATTTGTCCAAATCGATCTCGTTCCGGTCGTCGCTGAACAGCAAATAGAAGTATTTGAGCGTTTCGCCCAACCAGAAGCTCTCCATCATATCCCGCGGGCGGGTGTTCAGTGGATTTTTGACGTTCCCGATCGACGTGTACCCGTTCTTCACCTTGGTGTACTTGTTGAAGGCCTCGAAGATAGTCCAACCCATGTCCTGGTAGGTTTTGTTACCGGTGATGGCATAGAAGTAGTACAGACTTTCGATGAATTCCGGCCGCAGCAAATTGTGGGCATCGTTCGTTTTGACGTAGATGTCGGTTTCGGATTCGCCGTTCATGTTGAAGTAGGATATTTCCGGGGCCAGCTGGGTGGGCTGTTTCATGTAGGTTTGGAAGCACGTTTCCAGCAGATCGTTTGCTAGCTTGAGGTGCGTCTTTGGCATACCGTTTTTGTAGCCCAGGAGTAACGTTCCCGGCAGGTAGCACGTGAGATGATCCATTTTCGGCTTGAAGTCTTTGCCGTTGATTAGCTCACCGATGTAGAGATGCTTTTCGTTGGGAGTGACGCGGACCAGCTGGTGCAGCACCCCGCGGATGGCCGTTTTGTAATCGTCAATGATGCTGCAAATAGTTAGAATGAGGTTCAATTTGCAGCTAGAAGACGGTAAAACACTTACAAGTCATCATTTTTCTTCCCAGTCTGGATCCATTGTTTGATGAGATATTCATAGTAGGAATCCGCCCGAGCGCCAAGGGAAATTGTGGCAAAGTTCCGGAACTGGCCGGTGTTAGCGTTGATAAAAATGGGAACCAGCCCTTCGTTTTTCTCCAGTTCGTGGACTTTAACGTTCACTTTGGCAGCGGCCTACAAGTGGAATAAAATGGTTAAATAATGTCCTGATTTTTTTTGGAAACTTCGAAAAACCTACCGTCTCAAAAGCTGGATCATTCGTACTTCTAGACAAGTCCCTGAACTCCAACTGCAGCGTCGTCACTTCACTAGTGGAACTGTCCGGTGACCACTTGGGCGGATGGGCCTTCATCGTCTCAATGTTGACATCCGAGTACGGAATTCCCGACGGGGAGTCAAAGCAAGGCAACAACCGTTGTCCCAAATCCAAAGCCTTGTCCAAAAACATCTTGTCTCCACTCAAATGGTAGGTGCTCAACAATCCTCCCACAACCCGGATGGTCACCTCGAAGAGATTCACATCTCGATTCACATCGAATCGCAAATACTGCTCGATCCAGCTGCGAGCCTCGTCAAACTCCTCCTGCAGATCCATGATGTACAACGTGTCCAGTGAGTCAACGATGGTCAGCCCCAGTCCGAACCAGTCGGAATAGCTCATCGAAATTGGTTTGAGATTGTCATGGCCCCAGGCAAACTCCTTGTAGCCTCGCCAAGAGTGCAGGAATGCCTCTATCACAGCTCGTTGTCGGTCATTCGTTGGTCCCTTGAAAAATCCAAAACAAGTAAGTTACACCATCGGAAGAATTTCGAATCCATCCCGCTACCGATCCCCACGAAATCGACAAACAAAAGCAAGCCAAACGAAATCAAAGCCGCCGAGTGAAAAGCTCCTTCCACCTACCTTAAAGTCTTTGGCATTATCACTCCGCCGGTTCTCCTCCAGCACGTTCTCTTCATTGTCCACAATCTCCTTCTGAATAACCTGCAACGTTGCCGTTTCGTCATCCCCATTGTTGGCTTCCGGTTCGTCCAGCTTCTGTTCAACCAACGGTTGTTGGTTATCATTGTTGTTGTTGTTGTTGTTGTTGTTGTCGTCGTCATTGCTATTCATTGCCGGAGGCTCATCCATCATATTTTTACTTTCCTGAGCAGCGGCAGCAGCAGCCCGTCTTCTTCCAAGACCGCGAATATCGTTGTTGGACCCAACCAAGCTGACTTCCTTCACTTCGCTGCCATCCGTGGAGCGGAAGCTACGTTCCAGTAACCCCTTATCATGAAGTGCCGATTCCGCTGCAAGATGCAGTGGGCCTAGGTTTTCGTGCTGCATTCAAAGGGGGAAAAAAGTAGGACGTGGTGGAAAAAGAGAAACCAAATTGCGATTGTTGGGATTTATCGGGGTCAAGTGCTTGAGAAAAGCGCGCTCTTTGCGTAAAATGTGTGTGTGTGAATGAGGGGGGTGTAACGAAGTGTTCTTCTAGCAAGTACGAATCACATGAGTTGACTGAATTGTGCTCAACCATTTACCTTAACCACGAGCCCCAGAACAGTAAAGGTACAGTAAGTACATTAGACAAAAACTTACCCGATCTTTGAACGGTGCAATCTGAATGTGTTCCATCCGCTCGACGAATCGGGACTCCCGGCTTGCAGCGTCATCGTATGGGATTAGGAAGAACACAAAGATACCAACGGCTATCAGTGCTATCCAGATCAGGTTCTTCTGGAAACGGGACAGTTGATTCCAATGCTGGAAGGAAGGGAAGAAGATTGTAGGGCTATCAATATAGGTTGTGGTTAATATTGGTAATATTTGACAATATTTAAAAATAAACTTACTGCTAACTATGCTGAGTTTCAATTACATTAGTTGCAAGCCAAAACATATAAGATTAGGAATGGCAACCGTCAAGCAGGTGTAACCCGTAGGACGAGAATTGTTTTTCAAAATGCTCGTTCTCAGCAATGTTCCAATGTTTTCATAAACCAGGACTTTCATTGAAAGGGGGTATTAGTGGATCTCGACAGTGAGCATTCATAAGGGCGAATACGCGATGATCGATTCTCTTCATCGATTTTCTCTTTGCATTGCTACAGCTAAGCGAAACAATTTTCAAGAATTTGTTCAATGCAGAGTAGTAACAGGTTGTTAATAAATCTAGCGAGTTATTAACAAAAGAGAAAATCGACGAAGAGAATCGATCATCGCGTATAGGCCCTTATGCATGCTCACTGTCGATCTAACTTTTGACGACCCGCTAGACTTCTCCCCGCTTTTGAGAGATCAAGCTGAACATTGCATTAGGTCCTAAGTAACATTGATCGATTCTCTTCATCGACTTTCTCTTTCATTGATAACTTGAGCACATAACCGTTTCTTGTTGTGTTTGTCGTATTAGATGCTAGATGAAGGCTTCTTTTATCGATATGTGTACTGAGAATACCTGGCCGTATGGATACAAAGAGAAAGTCGACGAAGAGAATCTGTCAATGTTACTTAGTGTTACTTAATGCAATGTTCAGCTTGAGATGCAAATATGTCTGTTTTTTCGATTTTTTCCACAACTGTGACCAAATGCTATTAGTTGTTTAGTGGATTGGTTAGCTGGTGCATTGAATAGTATCAGCACAGACAAACAGACATAACACTCGCAAGTTGTTCATCGAACAAGCATTTAACGATAAATTTAAAAGTATCGTAGTTGGTAGTACCGCCACCTGTTGCGCACATAGTATATTCCCTTGTGTTTGACGTTTACACGCTACCGCCATCTGGTCAGCGTACTACCAACCTTACCTCTATGGTACTACCCATCACAGTGTATAAACAGATGGCGGTAATGTTTTAGTGACGATGTTTTACAGTGAGAAATATGCAATGTGTTATGTCTCATGAGCGAGGTCATCAAGGCGATGACCGTTGCCAAGTACAACTGTTATCTGGAGGTGATACTGGAATTCTTGCGGATGGTGTTGGAGTCGCTACCGGAAGATTTCGAGATCGGAGAACCCCCACTTAAGACGATCGAACTGTTCAAGGATCTGGTGCGGAAGGCTTTGGTATTTCAGAACAATTTGATCAAAGTTGAAAAGATGACCGTGAAGGGACTGCTACTGGTCATAATGCCGATTCGGAATGTGATTAGTGATTTGGTAATTGGGGGGAGCGATACCCTGAAGGAGGAAATGAAGGGACGATTGAAGACGCTGTTAGATCGTTTTGGAGAGGCTAGATTCGTGACGGAGCTGAAATCACAGCCGAATGAGGTTAAGTGGAATTGTAAGATGTTGATTGGTCAGTTGTTGGGCTTGAAGGTGAGCTCCTGAAAGTCGACATCGGAGCGTTGGTTAAAGGATAGGTTTAGCTCTCGGAAACAACCCTGGTAACCCAGCGCTGAAAATAAAATATGTATAGGCTTGGCGGAGAAGAAGTCCGAACGCAGCTTTTAAAACTCTATGAGGTACGAATTGATTATGAAATCCGAGACACAGAAGCTCGTAAGGGGATCGGTGTCCATACAAAGGCCACCATCTGGCCGTAGTAGTTTTATCAGTGTTCGTTTACCATGTTTGATTCCGTAACGCTTCACCACTTCGTTGATCAGCCAACCGACATTCAGTTCCATGATTCGTTCCTCATCGTAACTGACATCGATGATCACTTGGACCATGTTCGGAGGTAGAATCTTCACCGGCGTTTGCTTCTCTATCATCAACAGCGCCCCAGCTTTTACAGGTGTTCTCAGGTCGGCACTACTTTTCGCCAGAGACATCATACTTCTTTCCATTTGTCCACTTCTACCAGGGAAGCCTGATTCCGGTTGAAACTCCCACTAGAACACTGGCGACGCATCTGTGACTGAGTCGATGGCTTTCAGGAGTAACTCCTCCCGGAAGCGTTCATCAGAATCTGAAGAGCATCTGGACCAGTTTCCTCTGATAATGCACGCTCGCTTCGGGTACTTACCACCGTCACCTGTGGTTCATCCGAGTCCACATCATACTCCAATCCAGTAGAAGTTATTGTCCTGTCGGAAATTGGAAGTGCCTCCCCGGAGAACGTTCTCGCTCGAAGCTTCGATTCGGTGGGCGAGGCCGTTGCTTATTAGGTTCAGTGTAGTCCTTTTCCAAGAGAATTGGGGAGCAACTTACCGAGAGTCATTGCCATTATCAGACATTCAGTCTGATGACACTTGGCACTGCCGGCACACTGAGACAAAAGTTGGCGCAAAATAAGTATGTAGAGTGACCACCCCTTGTAATAATCATAACAATCGACTCGCAGAAGTGATGATTCATTATATATATAACATTAACATAACATAAAATCTTAAATACATATACAAAAGGGAATCGATTGAAGCGATTTGGACGGTGAGAGTGGGAATGCCAACTACCTGTTGATAACATTTCGTGGATAAAGGGTGGGCTCTTCTCCCCACTCATTGGGACATCTTCCTGTTTGGGAAGTTCTAGGGGAAGTTCTTAAGAACGCATACACCAGTGGTCTGCACACCGAGATAGTATAACCATAGAGGTAACTCTAAGACCACTGGGTCCCGAAGAAAATCATTATTATTTTTGGCTCACTCAGTACCAGAACAACGGTCCCAAGCAGTCCCAAGCTATTTCACTCACCCCTGCATGTTCTGCATGAATCCACACACCCCTGATGTTATCTGTCAAACTTTCATAGCGAATCAAAACAAACATAGTGTAGTAATAGAATTTCAACTAGAATAGGGTACGTTAATCGTTTGCTTGGGACCAATAGGCTACTAAAGTGGTGAGCCAATTTAAAATCGTTAGTTTCGTATTGATTGTTGGTATAACTCGACCAGGCTTTCAAATAGTACAGCCTCCTCGCGACAGTTGGTTTATACCTGAATTGACTGTTGCTTTGTGTGCTTTACTACCGCTTGTTACCGTATGTTCAGATCTGAACTCGAAGTGTAGTGGCAACAGCGCACACACGAACGAATGAAAGCTGTATTAGAACAGTCGCATCTATACCCAATTTGCTAAAATCATCGTGCTTGGAACGTAGAGAACCGAATGGGCTGTATTTATACATTTCTTTATGACCAAGTTCTCAATGTTTTTGTCGTCATAACAGCCTTCACAAACCGACGAAATCCCTCAGCTTACCCAAGTGGCTGTCACGAGACATTATATACAATTGATATACGGCAGTTGAGTATGGAAGAAATCCACAAGTATGATCCCGAACAAATATGTCGACCCCATGTCGGATCAATGTAAGGTCAATTTATGGTCGACGTCGGCCAAATGTCGGGTCAATTCTGTGTTTATGTCGGATCAATGTCGGGCCAACATCGGCTTGGGGTTTGGTAGAAGTCAGGTTGGTGTCGGGTAGGCTTATATTTTTCGCTGAAGACCGCGCGTTTTTAAAACATATCGGATGAAAATTATGAAATGGGCAGCACGAACGAGCTCCGGCGCCACACTGGTAGTGTAGTAGCAGTCTTACGACATGCAAACAAAATTTCAAAGACAACAGCAACGAATCGGTAGTTTGACGGACTGCTTGTTGTATGTACGAGGAACGTTACGAATGACCATCCGAGGCTGTCATAGCCGAACGAACAAAATACATGACTAAGAACTAGCTGTCGTGTACTGCACAAGACGCCAACGTTGCATGTCGTATAACAGCCTCACTGTGGGCTGTCGCTTATAGCTCAATCTCAAGGCTGTCGTAGAAAAAAGAATGCGACAGCCGTTGGAATACTGTCATGAGGCGGTACTTTTGGTATGCCTGCACTCGACATATCGAATACCTTCAACAGAACGTGGAAGCCCCTCGTCCTTAAGCTACTAATCGACTGGGGTCTTAACGGACCTATCGTTCACTTCATTCAGAACTTCTTATCCAACCGCTCATTCCGAGTCGCAGTCGGCAACACCAAATTCCTGCTTTTCGCCGAGGAAACGGGTGTCTCACAAGGATCGGTTATCGCCGTTACCCTGTTTCTCGTGGCGATGAACGGAGTCTTCCGTCAACTACCTAGAAACATATATGTGTTCGTCTACACCGACGACATCCTCATCGTCACCCACGGACCCACGCCACTACGTACAAGGATGAGAGTCCAAGCGGCAGTCTCCGCCGTCGCCAGATGGGCCCACTCAGTAGGCTTTGAATTATCACCCTCTAAAAGCATCAGGTGCCATGTCTGCTCTTCTCGACACAGAATTAGCGGACCACCGATCAAAATCGACGACCAGTCCATACCGCTGAAGTTCTGGGAGTTCTCGTTGACCGATTCCTCAACTTTGAACAGCATTTCAGTGCAGTCAAGAAAAATTGCCGCAGTCGAGTGAATCTCATCCGGACCATTTCCCGACAGAATAGATCGAACAACCGCAGCATCCGTTTTCATGTGGCGAGTGCAATTAGCGACAGTTGCCTTGTGTACGGGTTGCCACCTACGTCCGGATTGTCTCTGGCCTGCTGCCATTCACGCCCGCTGACACTGGCATCCTGCCTTTCCGCTTCCGTATAACCGCAGCTATCGCAACCAAAGCCGCTGCTTTCATCTGGAAGACATCCGGAAATCAAGGGATCTTCCTCCTCGACGAGGGGAACAAACACGGCTGCCAATGAAGATCTCCCCCCAGTGGCCAGGGTCCACTGGCACGGAGACAAATGCTGGCAAACACCATTACCGAAAATCGAAAGCCGGATTAAGGACAGATTCAAAGCCGGAGACAATTCCGTGGCCATGA